CATCAGTCTAGGTTGAAGGTTCTTCTTTCAGGGCTTGAAATACCTCACTCCAGGCTCTCCTTGACTTGAGGGTTTGTGTTGAAAAGTCTGCTGTGATTCTGATGGACTTTCATTTGCACGTGATTTTTTTTTTTTTCCTAACATCTTGTAGGATTTTGTTCTTCTGTTGGGTTTCTGGGAGCTTGACTATATGTCTAGTTGTAGATGCTTTTGATCATGGATATTGGAGTCCTATATTCCTAACTTATCTGTATGTCAAATTCTTTTGCTTGGTTTGGGAAATTTTCTGTCATTAATTCTATGAACAGTTTTTTTGTTTTGCTTTTTAATGTCACTTGTGCTTTTTCATGGACTTCTATCAGTCATATATTATTCTTCTTTGAATCATTGAGGAGCTTTGGATTGATTTCTCATGGTCCCTTACTGTTTTTAAAAGATCTCTTCTTTTCATGGTCACTGACTGCCATTCTGTCTCTGTATCTGAAATTGTCTTCATATTGTTTTTGTCTCTTGTGCATACTTTCAATAGAGTTTATCTCCTGGCCTTCTGTTTGAATATGTTTCATGGTTTCCATTTCTTTCCTATGCAGGTATTCATGACTTCTATCATGATTCTGAACTCATCTTTTTTTTTTTTTATGTTTCTGTTCTAGTATCTCAATCATGTCTTTCATTCTGATCACCATCTCTGTACTTATCTGGGAAATTATTTCTTTTGAATTTTTCTAGAGCCTCATTCATCAGTTACTTCCTGTGCTATCAGTTCAGTATGTCTGGGTCGGTGATTATCAGACTTTTCCACCTCATTTCCCCCAGAATTTGCCTTTTTTTTTTCTTGAGTTTATTGGTACATTCTAGGTATACGGTACAGTTACATTCATTATTGGGATCTTGTACCTTTACATGACAGGTCTTGGTTCTCATTTTTTCCCCTTGTCCCTGCCCTCCCTTCACCCCCTCCTCCCCTCCCCACAGAATTTGCCTTTGATGAGCTGGAAGTCTGTATTTGTGCCTTGCTTAAATATCTTCTCATTTCTTTTTGTTGTTGGTACTGTCCTTGGTTTAATTCCTGGGTTGATACTTTGATCTTCCTGCTATAGCTGGTCTTTAGGTTTTGAGTCTCTAATGACTCTGGGGCAATCTCATTGTTATTATACCAGGAAGGAAAACTGATTAGATCAATCACAAGTGATTAAAGCCCAAGTGATTAAAATCAGCAACACTATAGCATCAAACACAATTTACAAAATGACAATTTGTGGTAGTTATCAATTTATCACCTTTAACCATGTGAATTAAATCAAAATTGAGGACCAGCCCAACATGTTTATAGTGAATAAACTCTTTATAGTAACTTTACCCTTCAGGATGGGGAGTTAGAAGGAGTTGGGGAGGGAGGGATAGATGAGTAGAAGGGTAGGGAAAGGTTAGAAGTGAGGCCAGAGGGCACAGGAAGACAAGCAAACTCTAGGAAACTTTTGAAAAGAAGAGAAAAAAAAATAGAATGAAAGAACAAAGATGAGAATAGAACAACCTAACAGCAATAGGGAAGCTAGAAACTATTCACTTTCCTTTGACACTAATGACAATTGAGAGAAGGGAAAAGGAGAGAAGTAAAGAGAAAGAAGAAATCTGAATTAGGGCAGGAACAGGAACAAAAAACATGAAGAACAATATGGGAGAGTGAGAGAATAAGTGAGAAAGAAAAAGAAGATAAAGAATAACTTGAAGAGAAAAAAATTAAAATTAAAAATAAGAGGAAAAGAAAAAATTTAAAAACTAAAATGAAGAGCCTCCTTCATAATAGACAACATGGGCAACAGATCTAAGTCAGTCTCAGCAAGCCAGTAGCAGACCCCTGAGATTCAGGCTGCTTTCTGGATGCAAGGCCCAAGTTGAACTCCCTAACCTCCTGCTGGGTTGAACACTGTAAGGTTCTTCTGCAGGTTCCAGATGTGCTTCCCCTGAGGAGAGTCTGGGTTCTAATGGGAGGTGGTGAACCCCCCAACTTACCAACTACATTGGCCTGGTGTGCCTTTATTGCAGAAATTTTCTTTCCAGTGGGCTTCAATTTTTATCAAGGAGCCCAAGAGAGGCCCTTTTTATAGTTCACTTCTGCTGTATCTTCTGGAGCTCAGGACAGTAGCTATTATGACCCCCTGTGCCTCTGGTATTCATCCAGGTACCAGGTACTGGTGCAGCCAGGAGGCCAGAGGTGCCTTGGTTGGGGGTTGGGGGGTAGCAGCCCAGCTCCACATGATTCTGCTTCTCACCAGTCCGCTGTGGTCCACTTAAACTGCTGGAAGGCCTCTGAGCATTTGTTCTGTATTGGGTACTACTCTAACCATATCAACTCATTGGGTTTTTATTAACTTTACTGTAGATATTAGATATAGCTGCTATCCCTATTTTACAGAAGAGGCAACTAAAGCACAGAAAGGATAGATCACTTTCCTAAGGTCACACAGCTTGGAAATGGCAGAGGTGGGAATTGCACACAGGTAGTCTGGCTGCAGAGACTGCATTCTTTACTATTAATTACACTGCTGAACAGTAATCTTTTAAGTAGAAATATTCATCATAACCTCTTTAATATTCTCTTAACCTCTCAGGTTACTAAAGCAGAGTACATTTTTAATCTCTGAGCTTTTGCTTTATGAATCTAACTTTTGTAGTTATTAAATAATTTTTGTTCCCTATCCAGTAAATAATAAAGCTTCTAGTGCAGTGGTGGTGAACCTATGGCACACGTGCCACGGCAGACTGTTTATCATTAGAAGTTCTAAAAGGTTTTCAGAGTAATCAGATGAATAGTTTTACACATCTTCTAGTCCATGAATGAAGAAAGCAAAATCAAACCAAAGAGCACTGTTTCCATTCAGGTAGCCTGTGGCTGAGCTGAGACTAGAACTCAGGGCTATTTCTACCATTGGCTGCTCAAAGCTTTAGTTCACTTATTGTAAACTTTTTATTGTGTACTTGTTCTGGGATCTACAATAGAGGTTGAGATACAGGAGGAAAACAGGATTTTAAAAAAGTAATTATGTACATGTACTGACTCCACAGAAGGAATGTAACGATTATGTACTGGAAATGTATTATAAATAAATAAATACAAACCAACCAAAGTAGACAGGCCTCCTCTGCAGTCCCAAGAGGCAAGTGTTATAACAGTGCTGGGTGAGACTTAAAGATGCCATCCTCCACTCCACATGCAGGATAAGACAGCAAACGTTTGACAGAGGTGGTACTGCAGCTCAACTTCAGCTGAATTTTGACTTGCTCCGTTTCCGACCTGGGCCAGTTCACCCCTCCTTAGGCAACCTGGTGGTCCCCCGCTCCCGGGAGGTCACCATACGGATGCCAAACTTAGTGCGGACACCCGATCAGCATAGCGCACTGCAGCCCAGAACTCCTGGACTGAAGCGATCTTCCCACCTCAGCCTCCCGAGTAGCTGGGATTAGAGGGGCGCGCCACCACGCCCGGAACTTCAGCTGAATTTTGGAGAATACAAAAATCTTTGCCATGCTGGAAAAGGTGTATTGTAGCCAGGCTGGCATGAACAGAGACAGGGAAATCTGGACAACTAAAAGCTGAGCAGAAACAAAGGGGCCGGAGTGGGGAGAAGCATAACAAGTCTACAGACATGGAGGCCCGATAGTTCAGAGCCATAAGGAGTAATGTTACACTCGAATTTCAGAAACTCCATTCTCCTTTCCTCTGTCATTCTGGAGCCCAATTATAGGCAATTTAAAATTCCGGAGGACCCATAATTCAGAGCCCAAAGAGGTATAGTGGTAGGGATCAAAAATCGGCAAAAATAGCCAATTATAAGTTCCAAGTTTCTCTTTAAAACTCAAAGAAAGACAAAGAAAAAGCATGAGTTAACTTTTTTTCAGCCTGCTGCCAGACTATCATTTGATATGACCTGTTAGGAATACCCTTTGTGCCTGAAGACGTCATTTTCATGGTTACTGTCATCTCTGACCAGCAACTAGCAGCTCTTCTCCCCAGTTTCCAGGACCAGAGTGGCTGGCCTGGTCCACTTGGGCTCCTCAGGCCCCACTACCACTTGCCTTTGCCGAAATAACAGTATTTTATCATGTCTGTGGTTCCTAGTTGGAAAGCTTTATTTCTGAATTTTTTTCTTAAAAATAAATAAAACTTGTTCCTCTTTTAAGGCTGACAAGTGCTATTCAGCCTATGACTTCAAAAGCTTTCTAGAAGGAATTTGCCACTCCTAATTTTTCTACCACAGTTCTAGAAGAGATAGGATTGTTAAAAAGATTAAGCACTTCAATACCTAAGCTCCTTACACATATTAAAGGGTCAGTGAGTTAAGCATTTGTCATAATATGGAAGAGCAGTGTAATATGGGGACCTACCCACAACGTTTACTCTATTGGAGTTACTTGCTTATGAATTTCTCCCTTTTTACTCTATGCTTCAAGAGAATTACTATGCATAGGACTTTACATGTCCTAATTAATTCCATCACGCTTTGTTTTTGATATAAAATTATTATTTTAGAATTTTTTTTTTCTCTAGAAAAACTGGCTAGTAACCAATGATTAGAAAAACCAACCATTTTAAGCGCAGGTACTGTTGATTGAGAATTAACCTAGTATATCATCGGACAATTTTTGCCTTTTCTGGGAATGTTATTATTTCTCCCACCTTTAATATGACTTTGACTTACAGTCCTATGATGTGAGAGTAGTAAGACTATCTTAGACACATGGTTTTGGTTTGAATAAATTGTCTATGATGGGTACTTTGTACCATTTGTCTAATTAGTTCTGAAGATAAAAATTACAACATAGAATTGCTCTGAAAGATATTTTTGTTCATTTGAAAAATAAAGTACCAACTCTGTATTTTGTTAACATTCATTTTATAAAATACCTTAAAAGAACAGAAAGATATTGAGGTTACATAATAACCAGAATTGAAACAGAAGGAACAAAATATAAATTAATTGAACACGTAACTATTTTACCACCTTAGACACATTTTTTTAAAGGCATTAAAAACAATATAATAGTGACTGGAAAGGAAACTTTTCACTCTTTTGCTTTTTCTGGAAATTTTTCCTAGATACACTAAAATTCCAGCTTAACAGGCAGTACCTGTATTATTTAAAATATACTGTAATTTGCTTCCAAATCTGTCATTTTAAGAAAGGTATTTGTAAACCAGATTAGATAATTCAGTGCAAATTAAAGCTTTAAACTGAAAATCCAAGAAGAAAAGTAATATACAAGAAATGCTCCTGGAACTGGAAAATTAAGAAAATTCACATTATAAAGAAACTTTTGGGAAGTGTTCTTGGTGTGTGAAATAAAATACTGAGTTAGCAGTGAGCCCTTTGAGGTTGCAATTAGGGCTCTATTACTGAGTCTGTTTGCAGTGTGGGCACAGGGAGATGCATAGGGAAAAGTGAATGGTCAGATTTGTCAAAGTTCAAGTTAAGCATAAAATGCTTTGATTCTATACTAGGAACTTGGCTGTAGTATATCAGGTATCAAAGGGAAAAAGAAAAGACAGTGGAGATAAACTTACTGAAATACTGATGAAGATAAATCCTTTTTACCCTTATAATTTGGGGATGAGGGTTAATATTGGCCCTGATTTGTTTTTAATCTTATAGTTACTAAATACTGGCTTAAAAATGTGTTGTATTAGCAAGTTTTGAGAAATGGAAGGAATGTCTAACTTTCTGGATCACAGTGAAACCATGTCTGGGTCATCTCCAGGCAGTAATAGGTAGTTACTTTTATAATGAAAAAATATTTTTGTTTTAAGTATCTCTTTAAAAAATATTCATTTTGAGTGATGTCATAGGCATTAGGTAGCTATGAGTTTTCATGGCAGTGTTTAAATTTACTTCTTTCCATTCTATTCTGTATGACTCTGTGATTCACTATTGTTGAGAATAAAAGTAATGAGTGCTACTGAGTACAAGATGTAGAGAGTTTGGGGTAGGGGGCTAGAAAACTATTTTCAAAATTTCTCCAGCCCCGAACTTCGGTCCAAATTTACAATGCTGTCTTTTTTAGTTCTCACTGAATATTTTAACTTGTTATTTGAAAACTGAATGAGAATGTACTGTGCTTCCTGACATTCTTATTTTGTAACATCCCCTTATCTATTAAGAATGTTATGACAATGTTATCACAACAAAGTGGCAACTTTTGGCTTTTAGACTGTATCTATCATCACCCAGTCATAATAAAGCCAATGTGACATCAAAAACTAATGAAACAGGGTAAGGATTTAGCTCAGTGGTTCCGCTGCATGCCTTGCAAGCATAAGGACCTGAGTTCAATCCCTGGTACCAAACAAAACAACCCAAAAAACTAATAAAACAAATGAAAAATCATGATGACATAATGAATTAGAAAGCAATACAAAATTAGCCAATGCAATTTTCAAAGTATAAAAAACTGTACTCATACCTACTCACAGAAGAATATATAAGGCAAATTAAAAATTCTCCTGTAGGGAACATAACCAACTCAATCACCACAAGAAATTCATTTAAGCACAAAAATTATCCAAGGCTTGCACACATCCTAAAGTATCCTCTCACCCCATGAGAGCAAGATTGTAAGAACAGGCATATGTCACTTTGAAAAGCAATGCTTACATTCACCTCCCTGGGTCAACGCAAGCCTTGCATATAAAATTTGCCACATCTATCACATATTATATCCTGTCTTCTTGAGTCCTGACCTGAAACTAATGTGTTTTTTTGAACATCACACTAGGTGTGAAGAAAGGAGTGGTTAGAACATGTGCAACCCACAATTAATTCTTAGGTAGAAAACCGCTAGTGGGTTCAAGCATTTTACAGAGTTTTGTTTCACTTCTCCACTAATTTCTCAGGAATGGGAAAAAAAAAGTAAACTGCTAGAGAATTCTAAAGCTGTAGTGCCAACCTCCCAGGGTTTGTCCACCAGAGACGTTGCCATCAAAATGCATCTTAAAAAATAATAAAACATTATGCTGGAATCAGTTTGTGAGAGTTTGTGCTTAAACACAGTGTCTAACAGTGCCAAGTACACTGTAGATGCTCAATAAATATCTGTAGATTTATTCAAAGTAATAACAGTTTCTTAAGAATCAACTGCAATTTCACAAAAAAAGGCAAAACTATATATTACTTTCACCTGACTGGATGGAGCAATGTGGACTGAGAGAATTTACAAATTAAATATGAACCCTCATTTGACTGGAGAGGAAATTACTAAGAACTTTGCAAAGAAACCTGGCACAGTAGCATTAGCACTTAACAGTGCATTAAAACCTTAATGTTTCCATTGCAAAAGGAAGTGGTCCCACAGCGATTATGAACCATAGTATAATCTTCAAATAGGGAAATACCTTTATTCCACTTTGGAAGAGGTACAATGTGTCTGTGATTAACCTGAAGTTTATTAATATATTTCAGGGAGGTGGCCCTCTTATTCAGCATGCCTCAAAGTAATGCAGATAGAAATACCTGAGGACCTCATTATAGTATTTCAGTATGGCACTGTCTTGTGCAAGTGTATCTTAGAAGTAGTTGCTAATATTTTAGATGTTTACAGTGCCATGGCTCCCCTGGGATGACAGAGATGGAGAATATGGAAAATGAAAGGTTATAAAACTTAAACAAGGCAAGCTCCTCTATATTAGAAAAGACCCCTTATAAAAGGCAGTTTATTAACAAATAAATGCTTTATACATTCAGATTTTTTTCCCATCTCTCAAAAGTGATGGTTTCCAAAGAAAAGATTCAGTAGTGAAGACCACACAAAGAGTTTTTTGCATTAGTTTGATATGTTGAAAATCAAGACCTTTAAAGCATTTTGTAAATGGTAGAAATGGAATTGGACCTGGGGGCTGGGGAAGTTCGTAGATGCTGGAGATCAACATGAAGAGGTGATTTTGCTGTTGATGTGGACATCAAAAGAGGTGACAGTTATGAGAAATGTTACAGCAGACTGGACCACTCTGCAAAGGGTCTATCAAGAACACAGTACAATATAAAAAAAACAAAACAAACAAACAAAAAAAACCAAAAACAAACTGCAACTTTGCCAACTTGTAAACAAGGAAAAGCATTTCACAGATTCAATGTTCAAGGGAAGTAAACGTCTTTAAATTATTTTTGTCAGTTCAACCCTGATTTAAAAGTATGGCTAGCAACACAAGGGGGCCGCAGCGTCAACATCCTGAGCACGAAGCAATCTTCTGAGGAGCTGTGCTCCTGGGCCTCCCTTCTCAAAATGTTGAGTGAGGAGGCTTTGCTCTTGAATTCCACCTTAGTCTTCTCTTTCCATGCTCTTGGAACATCTGTCAACTGCTCTACATTTTGGTTTTTACAGTTCTGGCTGCTATAGATTCAGACGTGGGGAAACTGGAGGAGGGAAAGCAAATTCTCGAAGGATGCTACGAGCCACTTCGACATTATTCTGGGCTATCTCTAAGGCTCTCTTCACCTCTTCAAAGGCATACCCCTCTCCCATGAGTTTTGCAATCTTTGCATCCACATTTTCCAGTGCTGCCTCAGGCCCATGGGGTTTTCTGTGGTGAATTTCTGGTGCAGTCCTGCGGGGTCTTGGTTTGGGGGGTCTGGCTGGTGCTTGTGAACCATCTGTGCAGATTTTGCAAGAGAGATACCATTGATTGAGACAGTGAGATAAAAATGAAGACATTAAAACAATACTTTTATGCTAAAATATATTTTTCATTGTCTTTACAAATCTCTTCCATTCTATCATGGAACATATCTACATTTTGAAAATTAAAATTTTGTGGTAAAATGTTTTAGTAGGTCCAATGAGAAATTAATAGATTTAATATACTTATTCCATATTTAGTTAAGAAATACAACATAAAGGAAATGCAGAAAAAGAAAACCATTGTCTGAATGAGAAAGCCTTTGCTTTTGTAGATGTATCATCTTGTATCCTTCTCAGTATGGCATAGGCTATAGTTTTGGGAGGTCTTTATTAGAACAGACTCCATAGACTCAACACATATTCACAGCAGAACATCTTCAAAATGTCCTATGGTACTTATTAACAGCACTACTCTGAGAAATATGCTTCAGAGGGTCTCTTCTATTTTTGATACATCTTACTGATAATGCTACATCTTACTGATGTTACATAATAAATTAAAAAGAAAACATGATTTGACTCTATTATCATAAGCAGAACTGTATGTGATACTCTGCTCAAACACTTTTTCAGATTCCAATGTACAAGGGTTGCATGACAAAGCAAATGCAGGAGAAACATCAGGAGGGGAGAACTGAGTTCTAACTAGATCAGTCGCCTGATGATAGTAGTTTCTTAAAGCAAAACTAATGCCTCTGGTACAAACAAGTGGACAGTTACTCTTAAGAAAACTAACCATCCCGTACAGAGCAGTGACTGGACAGGCTACTTTTGTCCATATATCCATACATATGCATTATATTTTGAAAGCCTAGATTTAAAAAGAAAACTTCATGCTAGGAAGCACATTTGTAGATTTCAGACTATCCAGACAACAGCATGTAATAGCTTCTTCATAACTATTGCCAAATGTCAAATGATAAACCCGAAGTCATGTTTAAGTGAAAAATAAAGTGAAGCCACAGCTAATGTCTCATACATAATATGCCCTGCTTCGTGCTGCCTTGCTGATTTCTTCAGTGCCGTCAGAAGTTACTGTAAGCTTATAATAAAATTTAAATCTCAAAATTTTTATTTCATATTTTCTTTTTAAACCAAGAGGAGTAAAATATTTTTTCATGAGAAGGTAACTTTAAAAAAATCAACTCATTCACAATTTTTGCAACAGAAATGATCACACATATAAAAGCACCTAGAATGAAAATGTTTCTTTGCTCATCAAATGCAATGATAGTCTTATTCCAAAATTTTCTTTTTATAGAATGTTTAGTTTTTTAAAATTATACCTGTAGATAATGTATACTGAACTATGTGCATATATAAGAACACACACTAAGTCTTGCTAAATATTTGAAATTATCTATAAAATTGCATTTTTTAGTATCTTTTAAGATTCTATTTTCTTATGTATTATATTATTATATAGAGATGGAAAATAAATTATACTTTGCTCCAAATAATTTTTAAAAACTATTAGGAATTACACTAAGTTTTCCTTTAATCATTTGCTATGAAATGCATACATTTAAATTACCTGTTCTGAGGTACTTTTTATATTCTTTTAAAATTTTTAATTAGAAGTATAGAGACGATAAATGCAAGTCTAAATGCCTTTTAGTAGTAATTTTCTAAGATTTATAATGTGATTTTGTTTTGGTACAAAATACTTACAAAGGCACATGAATGTTACACACATTGCAAAGAAGAGTTATGATGTGTAAAAATAAAGTGAGAATATTACTATGACCTCCAGGGACTTATCTAGTACTACAACTGGTATATTAGCTTCCTTGTTACTGAGACACAATATCCAACACTCATAACTTGAAGGAAGAGAGGTTTGATCTGCTGGTGGTTTCAGTCCATGATTGGTGGCTGGCTCCAAGGCAATGACATCAGTGTGGAGGAGTGCGGTGAGGCAAATTTGCTTAGTTCACGATGGCCATGGAGCAGAGCAGGGGATCAATACCAGAGAGGAAGAGTGTAGGGACCAGAAACAGTGCCCAAGGTTATGCCCCCATGAACTGCCTAGATACCCCTGAAGTGTGTGCCACCAATCCCTGGGATAGAAGCCAAACCAAACACTTCACTACCTGCCACAACTGGTAATTAATTCTAAAGAATTACAACTTTTAGTTTTAATAAACATATCTCTGATCTTGGTAGTTTCCATGTTTTTCAGTGTTATCTATCCATCACCAGCTGACAAAAAAAAGGGCAAGAACCCGAGAGGACAGACAGTTGAAGAGAAGTATCCACCATTCAATAATCCTCCAAAAAGAACCAAATTAACAGGTGTACAGCTGCATTTCGAAGTTACTATGGAGAACACTGGAACTCAGCAAGACAGACTAGATCCTTGTTAAGATTCAGAAACCTGGTACAACAGCTTAGTAAGAGAACCAAAATACACAAGGATCTGCCAAGCTAGCTCCAGAGCCAGGGGAGAGGAAATTGCCCTTTTGTAGGAGCAAGGAAAAAGTTCTTTTCAGTGTGGATGCTGGCATCCTAGCTACTGGGAAGTTCCACAATCCTCACTGGCCTGGAGCCCACTTAAGTGCCTAAAATCTGCATGGTTATTATGGTTTGTATCTAGATGCCTCCCCCCAAAGCCTCATGCGGTCACTAACGGGGAGATTCCCAGGTGGCTGCATTAGAGTGGGAATGTAGACTAAGGCTGTGATACTGGGATTAAGGACGCATATAATGGAAACCCTACCCTGGGTATAAGTGACACTGATCAATAGGTTCTCGTAGCCTGGATGGAATATAAAGGTAAAGAAAGAAGGAAGGCTGCTGTTTGCTGCCTTCTCCATACCTGCCCTGCCTTGCCGTGGACATTTCCCTCTGTGATGGCCCTCTGCCTTGGAGCCCACTGACTATGGACTAAAACCTCTACAAATGTGAGCTGAAATACTTTTCCTCCCTTAACTTTGGTAGCTGGGTATATTGTCTCAGCAACAATAAAAGTAACAATGGTTGTCTTGCTTCAGATAAGGATCTCCACATATTTCCTATTGAACTAAAAGGGTAATGGGTCCAGGAACCATCTTAAGAAAGGGCTACTATCTGAGTTTGGACTGAACTAGGGGTCAGAAGCCCCTGCATATTCCCAAACCTGGGATTCCATAGACATCCCACTGCACTGGGTCTGAGGATAGCAGCCCTGCAATCCAATCCAAGCCCACTGGGTGCCCTGCATCATAAGAGATAGGCATTGTGACAAGGAGGGGAACAGACAGCACTGTCCTCAAGAAAACTAAGGTCAGTGTGCTTGCCCTCTGAAACCATGGAACTAGCTAGCTACATGGAGACCCCTGCCTGTGCCAGGATTGAAGTCAAGTGCCAGTGGTTTGCCAAACAAACCCTGCTTGTTTGCTCATGTGCCTTTTTCTGATAGGGAAGGGAGGGACTATTGTGTTTCCTGCTTCTACTCCCCCATAGGAGTATGCTAAGGGCATTGGGAATCTCCATGATTTCAACTGTTGTCTGACCCCCAGGTGTGCACAGGGGTGGCAAGCATCTGTGCAAGTCTCTGTTCCATTCTTGTGGGGGCACAATAGGAATAGCAGAGAATACCACAGTTCCTGCTGCCATCCCACTGAGGCAGCTGCTAGTATCTGCTTGCACACCATCTCACTGGATAAGGTGTCAGGAATAGGCGTGAGTACCACAGAGGGGGTGTTGCAGGTCCCATCACCACCTCTCTTGGTTTTAGCATCTGGGCCCTCACCACCACCTGGTTAGAAGACAAATGCTACTGCTCACTCCTGCTGGTACTGCCACTGCCACTTCCTAGTGACACAGCGAGCATCAAAAGAACATGAGGAAATCCCGCCCTTTGATAGGGGCCACCACTCCCACTGCAGGAGCCACACAGTGACCACTTACATCCACTACTGTGGACACCACGGTCTCCTGAACAGCTAGTGTCTGCACTCTAGCAGAGTCCACAGAGAAAGTGGGTATCTCGGATGCCAACACTTGCTAATAACAGTGGGAGAAGCTACGGGGACCACACCACAGTGCCTAGCTATGATGGTAAAACTGCAGAACAACAAGCAGATCCAAAGACCCACCTGCCGGAGAAGCTGCTTGCTAAGAAGACCACCCTGTAAAAGTAGGAGAGGTATTTGATCCACCAGGTGCATAAATGTCAATGGTAAAACACAACAAATTTGAAAAAGCAAGAATACAATAACTCTCTAGGGACAGATTCCAAAGAAATGAACTGGACAAAATGCTTGATAGAGAATTAAAAGACTGATTATAAAAAGTTCAATAAAGTGCAAATAATACAGATAAACAGACACTCCAGAAATATGAATGAGAAACTGAACAAAGAGAGTAATTTTGAAAGTGTAAACAAATCTTAGAAATGAAGAACCTGATCAAATAAAAAATACAATGGAAAGCCTCAACAACTGACTAGATCAAGTGGAAAAAGTAATATCTGAATTTGAAAGATCTTTTAAAATATCCAATTCAGACCTACAAAAAAAAAAATGTCAGCATTCAAGATATTTGTGACACCACTAAACCAGCACCCACATTTTTGGAATACCAAAGATGGGTATAAAGGTTAACAGCATATAAAACCTATTCAATAACACAATAGCAGAAAACTCCCTAATTTTGTAAAAAAAAAAATGGACATAACTGGAAAAGATCTTCACAGAATGTTATCTTAAAGTTTTAAAAAGACAAGACAAAAAGTTTTAGAATATACAACTGAAAAAGTATTGAGACACATTTACAGATATATCTCTATATTAACAGCATATTTCTCAACGAAAAATTTACAGGCCAGGAGGGAATAGAGGATTTACTGTAGTCTGAAAAGAAAATAACTGCTAACAAAGATTACTGTACTCAGGAAGGCTATTCTTTGGGAGTGAATGAGAAATAAAGACCTTCATGACAAACACCTGAATGAATGCACAATGATCAGACCAGCCTAAGGGAGTTCTAA